AAGCTTGTCTGCCTTCCACGGGAAGTAGCTTTGCTTACTGGGACTATCTTCTTCCTACTGAATTTGAAAGGAAGCTTTTCAAAAGACTTGAAATCATGTCCCATCACCATGAGTAGAGATTAAGCTCTAGCACTGCTTCCCTACTAAATACAGCACAGCTAGGATTTCTCACACAAGATCTTTGTGGAAGATGTTGCTAAAGATGAAAAGCAAAGATTTTTATAAAGGGGTTTGCTAGTACTTCAGACTGCAAGGAATAGTTTCCTTCGAGGATCCCAAGCACTCAGCAGGCAAAAAAGGAGACTTGAATACTTATAGAACAAAAGAACAAAACTGAAAAACCCCTCAACCTCACAACGAAGCACATCAGTATTCAAAACTACTTTACAATCGAGGAAGGTGCAGATTAGTGGCATTGCACACTGTTAGATAGGTAGAGAAGAAATAACGGGCTATTGGAGGGACAATATGATATGCATTGCTCAGATTTATTAGATGCCAGGTACAAAGGGAACATGCCTGCCAATCATTAGGTTGAAGACATGTAATTGTTTAGATGGATATAAAGTTCCTTCTTTCAAACTATATACATGTAGTACTCATAAAGAAGAATATGTATCTATGAACATGTATGTAAAAATTATAGCTATCTATGGGATGGGGATATTACTAAGGCACATAATGTCATTAGACTGGATTCAGTGCCTGAGATCAAAGAATTTCATGCCAGCTTTTGTCATAAAGCAAGTTTTGTGTCTGGAGTTCAGTTAAGCCTAGTCAAAGGAGTCACGATCAATCTGACCAAGGCAGAGGTCTACAATGACACCTATAGTTGGGATTTCTAGTGCCCAATTTATCTCTCTTTTAAGTAGATCTCTAAAGCAGGCCAGATGAATTGTACCCTAAATGTGCCCTAACTTCTCTCCACCTATTACAAAGGGAGTCTGGGATGACTAGCTCAGACATTGATTCACTACTGATATTTTCCAGAAAGTACAACTCACATATGACTAATGATTTCAAGATAAAAACTGAAAATCTAGCACAGAGCTTTTGGTCATACTGCAATACCCACAGTCACAGAGATAGTGAGAATGATAAAGAATGTTGCTATCATCTTTGACTAGTCTTGCTATCGTCTTTGACTAGTCAGCTGAAAACAACTCTCCCCTTCTGGCAAAGACATTTTTAATGCTATTCCCATCTTTACTACACCTCCATATTTTAATTATGTTTAAGAACTCTTCATTAGAGTCAGTTGAAGAAATCTGATGAACCAAAAAGCTCTGTAGACCAGGCAACTTTTTAGACCACTTGTCAGGCTCTTCCATTTAAATAATTCTTGGTTTAAAGTCCCCATTTTGAAATCTTCACAAATGCAGAGAAACGGAGCCTTCTGACACCCCAGAAGTCTAACTCATTCTAATTCTTTACTATTGTGAACAGAAATAAGCAAGTCTGGCAACATTTACTTTTGTAGGACTGTGTTTCTCTGGCAACATTTAATTTTGTAGGACTGTGTTTCTCAGACATCCTTCAGATGCAAGAGAATAGTTCTGATCTGCTATTTTCCTTGAGACCTCCTTAATAATTCCTTATTGAGTGATAATAAATTACTCCAAAGAGTAATACTATATATGGCCTAAACTGAAAAAAGAGGGAGCTTTTTTTTCTTTTTGCAAGTTCTGCTTTGTCTGACTAAGCACAGACTATTTTAGAAGTACTGCAGACCCTTTAAAGTTATCAGAAACTAGTAGGAGAAACCCAAGCACTTGTGACAAACTTATGACAAGCAGTAAATCTACAGATAGAGACACACTCTTCTCCTCCCCATGGATCAACTTAGAAAGAAAAAAAATACAGAAGTATAGAACATTACAAAGAAATAAACATTTTTATTGTTAAATGGTAGTCATGGGCACCATCAGTTTATTTTTTCCTTCCTGGGTGTGTCCTTTCTCTTTTAAGCACCATAAGATAACATATAGCTTGTGAACAATATTTGATTAACAGTAAAAGAAACATTAAATCCTTATTTTACCACCTACAAACATTTGTAAGTAAAGGTAGAATATATTTCTCTGCAAAGCATATTTTAAAGTCTTTTATTTCAATACTATGTTTTATTAATATATAATATTGTCAACAAACTAGGCAAAGGTCAACATTGTACATGATGAGAACCTAAAAGTTTCATATCAAGTACAATGATGTTTAAATTTCCTGTAACCTGCACTTGACACCAGGTGTAGCTACTCATAAGAAGCATACACCAATCACATACTGTAATGGGCCTGAAACAAGTAGGGTCTCACACAGCCTTAAATGTATTTTAACAAAAGGTGCTGTCCCATGTAAAGGAGAAAAAAAAGAAGCATCACTACGAACAAATCAATACCTTACTTAAATACCGGTAATATACCTACTCCTAATCTTACCCTTCCCCCCACAAGTTTCCTGGTCAGATAATTAGATTCCGTCTGCTAAAAATAGATTTCTTTCAAGCAGCCAATCTCTCTCCTTTAATTCATAGAGATCTGTCCCAAAGAAGTCTTGTACAGTTTTAACAATAATGATACAATTTTCTATACTGAATTGGACTGACAAAGAACGAATCCTTTACATTATTTAGTGTCATGTGCAATGAATAAAATATAGCGGCTTTATTTCCATGTAACAACTGAATTTTTATCCATTTTTTAATAAATAGGATTTTGCTTTAAAAATATGTATTTACTTTTAAATGCTACATTAAACTACTCTATAATATGTTTAAATACCTTAAAATTTAAAATAATATTCAAATATTACATGCTTGCTGCCAACATCTGAAAGCATGTCAGATCACTAGAAGGAAACCAATTGGGCTTAGCCACTGGAACGAAAGATTCTTGAAATGACAAAATAGGCTTTGACTTTTAGCCTTTTCTGACAGTGTTGGCATTTTTTTTTTTCATTTCACTTCCTGCTAATGTTGTTCAAAACTGAGGAACTGGGTTCAGAATTTTTTCTTTTTTTCTTTTTTAGAAACATTTTTCTTCTCTAATGGGTGAAGCAGTTAGGTATAAGAGGCTGAGACATCACAGAGTTAAAACCTTGAAGGATGTGATGATATCAATAAATAAAATAACTAGCTACAGATAAATTATTCAATAAAGAAAATGTTGTTTCTAAAGCCAAAACACTTTTCTTCTGTATCCTGCTCACACTTTTACTATAGCTCTGTTGAATTATTTTAAAAACAAAACTATATTTTACATGAACTCAATTTAAAACAAATACTATAGACAATAGTATAGAAGACAATTCTTAAAAAAATGCTTTATCTGAAATATTTTGGTGAGTTCGTATGGCTGCCTCCATTTCTTCTTAAACTTTTTTTCTGCTTTCGTTACGTATATTTTATTCATGTACTATATGTGGATAAGAAGAAAAAGTATTTGTTTTTCCCCTCCTTTTGCCACCCATTATGTCAAACGTCAAGCTTTGTACAAATAGCCATATAATCTCATATACGTTGCATAATTTATTTTTATTGTATTAAATGTAATGACAATTAAAATGTCTTTAAATAACTGTGTTTTGAGGCAGTCTAACCAATCCCAATTTTCAAGCACAGGTGGTTAAAAATAAAATATCCTATGCCTGATACACAGAAACATGCTGTAAATGCAAAAAAAAAAAAAAAAAAAAAAAAGATGAGAAAGCAATACTTAATGAAGTTTTAGGGATTTATTCTGTAGTACCACATAGTACTGTAGTACTTTTCTGAACTAAGAGCAAATGATTCCTTTTTTTATCAACGATGGATTAAATCACACAAATGCAACTATGTCACAAGAAAGAATTTTACATGAGCAAATTGAATGATCCAAAATAATTTTTTTTCTTTGGATTGCAGACAATAGTTTTATTAATCAAAATCACAAACCCTTGCTTACTAGTTGTTAGAATTTAAAGCAATTTATAATATACATACATGGACACACAAAGTTTAAGAAATGCCAGATTATGTAGTGATAGCTTAAGTTGATGTAATGAGTATTTTAACATAATGCCCCCAGAGCAGCGTATGATAAACATAAGTTGCATTATTACTAAAGTAGGAAGTTAACTATTTCTGTTCTTTATAAACAGGATGCAATTTTAAATCTCTTAAGCTTTTTATAAATCAATCCTTTTACCCACTGAGATTTTTCAATCCAATAACATTTTCATCAGATTAAATTTTTTAACCTATTTTACATTTCTGTATTTGCAGCACAGTGCATGCAAATAAATGGGGAAATGTACATACAAACTTGGCTAAAGTTACACTCAGGTAACCCTCTCTTTTCCAAGTAATGACATCTGAAAAACATATTCCTTACATTATATAGTATCTATTAAAACAAACAAACAAACAAAACAAATCAGGCCCAAAACATATAATAGTTGCTCTGGTCACAAAAGCGGTTTCCTTCAAGAAAAGCACAGCACAGCACATTAACCAACAGGCATAAAATAATTCACAATACATACAATATCAGAGATTTACATACCATCAAGAAGGCAAGAAAAAAAGCAAGAAAGGAAGGCAAAAGAACAGGAAAAGATATGGGGAAAGGGAATACTACAAAAGTACGACGTACTTTATATAGTATGCAATATTTTTAGAATTGGCCTGATTTTATTTTTATGGACCTAATATTGTAGCAGAAAAACCACAAACCAAAAGCATTTAAAATTTTCTACATCCATTCCCTCCTCCTGACTTTTTTTTTTTTAATTTTATTTTATTTCATAATAAGTAAAGTTAATAAATGGTAGTAAAAGTGGGAAAGAGATTTCCTAGAGAAATATAGGCAGGAAGTTAAAGTTTTAAAGGTATCATCAGGTCTGATCTCCATGTAACCTGAGGCGTATACTTATTTATCAACAATTACATCACAGTTAGTTCTTGAATTACATTACATTAAATAAGAACACCCAAACAGGTTAGGAGATGATGTTAATATTACCTTTGTAAAATGAGTGGGCAAAGCTCTGCTCAGGAATTAACTTGGCAAGGAATCCATGGTTCAAACTTGGGTGAGGGATAGATGGTATGACCACAACTGTGGAGAAAATCATGGAATCAAATGTGAGCCAGCTAGTATTCATGTGTGGCCTGGTCCACTGTGGATCCATGACAGATATCCTATCTCATTGAAACATGCAAATATGGTATTATCAACAAAAAATGCATTTCTAAAGGAAGAAAACAAGTTCTGTATCAAGAGATAGGAAACAGCATACCTATTATTTGGGCACTTCAAGAGCAACATTCATGGGGAAAAAGAGAGACATATATATATACACACACACGCACGCACACAGGCAAGACAATCATGGGTGAAATAGTTCACTGAAACTAGCAGTTTCTTAGTGCAGAACCGTAACATATAACTAGGAAGGCACAAAAAAATTATGATTTCTCATAATTGACTACGTTCATGTAGTATATTTAAAATGGAAAGCCTACAAGCACATGTACTTTAAAAATTATGTATAAGTAGTAAATTAAAACATCATGATGAATCAGAAAATAATGACTAGATGTAAATATGACACAAATTGGAAGATAAATTCTATGAAGAATAAAAATTAGCAACTCCATAAATGAAGAAAGTAATTAAAAATCAAAACAAGAAGAAAAACATACATAAAAAACTTCACGGACAAATTCAGTTACTGTTTTCAGCTATTTTAACACAGAAGGTAGTTATAATCAATCCAGGCAGAGTTGGAAAAACCTACTGAACTGACAGTGTAAAATATTTGAAACAAAGCGGGGTAACGTTTGGATCCCTAATTTTTGACGGGTTCTGACAGCTAACAGACTCCCTCCCCCTCAGGCTGAAGAACACATGCTAGTAAAAACCACTACTACTAATAAAAAAATCACAAACAGTTCAGCCAAAGAAGGCAATAGAAATGCTTTCTTTTTATTATATTGTTTCCATAGGCTTTTAAATGCAAGCACCAACACAGCAGGACTCCAAGAAAGCACTCCACCACTACACTTGCAAAAGCCTCCTCATTCAAACAAAAGGAGCTCACATGGGCAAACAGCTGTTTGCTGTTTATACATTTCATAGTATAGAGTTAAAGATATCTGTTCTTATTAACAAATAAGAGATTCAGGAAGTTGTGCTGATCAACTCCATTTTACTTTACAGCTTTAACTCCATCAGGCACCTTGTTTCTTTTTAATTATTTTCAAATTAAAGAAAAAAAGGCATAAAAAAGCAATATGCAAATGAAAATTAGTTATACCCTATAAGCAAATATACAGAATAACTGAAACCTGCCAATGTATGTTAAAGAACTGAATGATTATACAGGAAGAGTAGCAAGTAATTTCCTATTAGGATCTTAAGCTATTCACTAAAAAATACTTTGTCATAAAATAAATACAGTTCTAAAAAAAATCTGCATATCAAAAAGAAAAATAAAATTTGAAGAAAACAAATGTACCTGTACTTGTTGGTGAATTTATTTCTTGTCTGATATTTCTACCTGCCTGGCTCCCAGATCTTGCAGTTTCTCGTTGTGGTTCAAGTATATCGCGGTATTTGGAGACCATCAGAACGGAAATAAAGTAGACTACCGCCAAAGCTAAGAACTGAGCCTGTTTGCTGTCATCCTGTGTTGGAGAAAAAAGAACAGATTATAATATCAGGCATTTCCATAGAATTTTCACCCAAGATCATCACAAGGCTTTATAAATAATAGCTTTCTGAAATGTTCCATCTGTTAACGTAGTAGTAAATGGATTACATAGAAGATTTAATGGATTTTCAGTGGAGTACTATGCACACAGTATGTATTAAGTACCGAATCTTACAGGTAATTTGGCAACTACACAAACCTCTGGGACTGTGGAGTCAAGGGGCTTTTCAGTCTAGAGGCCTGATTCTGCTCTGAGAGTGCTTTCAAGGCTTCTCAACAGCAAGGGCAATTGACTTTTGCTGCCCCGAGGATGAGACTCCGAAAGCTCCTGCCACAAGAAGGTAAGGGGTACTTACTCCAGCTGAGAGGGAAAACTAAGCTCGTTGATGCTTTTCTACTTAACGCTGGATGCATGAGCAGGCATAACAGCTTCTGGTAGCACGTAAAAGCAGGATGGATATGACCATTGTTTTTTTTCCGGTAATAAAACCCAGCTCGTACATTCTGAATTCTCCTTCAACAGGATTGTCAGCAGCAATCTTAGTTTTCCAGGGCTCTGATTTAAGTAAATGCCAGGACCACAACATCTTTGCTGTCTTTTTTTCCTCCCACCCCACACAGTCTGCTGTTCTATGGCAACTACCATCTATGGCTTAGATATCACCCTAACTGAGCTTAAGTTGCTGTAGTTCAACTGAAATATCTTTTATTATTATTATTCTGGTGTAAAACCCAACACGGCAGGATTAAGACTTTCAGCCTCTATCTACTCCTATTGTCATTTCACCTTGTCTCAACTCCACAGGTATGCATTTTCTATTACAAATCCAGTGCTTGCTTTCCATGTTGTCTGGGTGTTATTTAATTTGGCTGCATGTCTGCACAATTCTTAAAATAACTAGAAATCCTCTTACTAAGTTCTTTCGTAGAAATGCCAGAAACAATACTTCCCCTATTCCCTTCTCTTCCAGGTAAGAAAAAAGTAGGTGACAGAAGATCACCCAAATTCAACCTTGCCCTCTCAAGACGATCAGGTCACCCTGACAGATAATTTTTTTTGTGTCAAGTTCTACTTTCTTCTTTTTAAAGCTATTTCTAACTTCAGTCTTCACTTCAATCCACTCAAACTTAGGTTGGAGAAGTTTAAACATAACATATCTATTTGTGCATATATAATAAGAATTCCTATTGTACTACTTTCAAAACCAAACACATTGTGGCGCAGTTTTATGCTAAAAACAGTTGCAGACAAATCTCAAAAACAATTTTATATATAATTGTATATAGTATATGTGTATATATATTTAGCAGAAGTAAAAATTGTCTTTATAAATTAATTTGCTGCAGTTCTGTAATACATATAATAATTCTTCCTCCTACCCTGGTTGGACAAATAGCTAACACCTTTAGTAATACAGTTGTAATCAACACAGGACATAACTGATTTATTCTGGCTGGGATTATTTGGCTAATATAAAATCAAGTCTGACTTAAACACAGTTAGTTACTAACCTCAAAAGGCTTACCAGTATGATTTTAAAGTGCAGAAAGTGGCTGGTAGTTAAAAAACCACGAGCAGATGGTTTGCAGATAATATATGAAGTGCAAGGATACGAAGGATATTTTTAATTCCAGTACAATCAAAATCTCTTTCAAATTATTTGATAATTTTGCAGAAGAAAGAATTACAGCACACATTACTCACCACATCACGAAAAACAACTGCTCGTAGACGATTAATATCAACATCCTGAAGAAGCCTATCAGGGTCTTTTATAGGAGAAAGATTGCCAGGGACATTTTCAAGGGGAGTCTAAAAATAAAAAGTAGTGACATTTTTTACCCCCGCAAATATCAAAGCATTTCTGTTAGAACCTTAATTTGATGCCTTTTTTAGATATTGCATCAATCTTAGATGCTTTTTTGGGACCAATATACTTCCAACATAATACTCAGACAAGGATTCTAGAAATAAAGCAATGTTTTGAATTATTGTCTTAATACTATTTAGATATAAATTGTTACATCTTCCTAGGACCTCAGAACAACTGTATCTCTTCCCAGAGTTAAGATGATAATTTGCACACAAAACATTATTTCTGATTACAGTTGTTTCATAGCAGTACAATAAATTATTTCTAATGTGTGCTAAATTTAAAAACGATGAGCAGAAATATTTTAAAAATCAGTTTATGTTCGTTTCACTGTGAATTGTTACAGACTACTTACAGAATAACTGCTATTACTACAAAAGCATAGAGTAGTATGCTTTCTTTAAAAAAATCATAATGTATTACAAATGATGCCTAAACACCTAAAAGTCTCCTTATACTGACTTGCTTTGCACTGAATGTGATAACGTGGAGAAATGTAATGTTTTTGTGAGATTTAATGAAATAATATTGTGAAAGGAGCTGAGTTTGTAAATGTTATCTGAAAAATTCTTTAGAGAAGAAAAACCACTGAATTTAGTAATGAAAATCTAGTAGCAAAAAAAGGAATCCTTTACATCACACACAGTGTTGTATTTTAGTCACAGGCTATGCTAAATTCTTTGAGATTTTAATTTCAGGACTCCCAAAGTCTTAAAGCTGTAAACAAGTTAAAAAAAAAAAAGATGAACAATGAATTAATGAAACTGGAAAAACTAAGCTGTAATTGAATATTAAACAAGTTTCATTACTAAAATCAGAAAGAAAATACTGATGTCTAATATGTATGCAAAGGTCTGTTGAAGTTACCGGGACTCAGGTGTTCCACCAACAAAGATGCGATTGCGGGATTTCATCAAAACTGCAAGTGCTCTGACAGATTAAAAAAGCTGTGCAGGTATATATGACAGATGTGAGTAAGGGGACTCGCTCTTTGAAGTAGACCAAGCAAGAGTGAAAAAGCTGTTTAAAATTGCTCCAGTCATACTACTGCGTTAACTTTTTCTTGTTTTTAATAAACTGCCCCACATACTTTTACTTTAAGCCAGTTAATAGCAAAAACCTAAGCTTTTGCCAAATATTTGAGAAGGCAGTTACAATTCTTTTCTGATCCTATAAAGCAGTGGTACAGACTTGTCATTGCTGTTGGCAAATGAAGACTGGGTTACCTTGGTTGCTGCTGCTGAAGTTACACCCTGAAGAGCATCTTGAGTTTTACTGCTGATTAATGACGTCTTGTTCACTCTCTCTCTCTGTCTTTGCCGACATTCTAAGCAGTTTCTCACAGCCACACAACAAACTAAAAAGAAGTTACGAAAATGCTACAAATGAGAATATTTTCTCATGATTATAGTCAGGTCATCAATTTGCAGTCTGTACAACTAGTTTGATATGTCAATAACCATGTCCAAATAGTAAGTGCAACATACTTCTCACATTAGACTCTGTCAGTACTAAGAAAGCATTATGGTGACTTACTAATTTCATTCTTTAGTTGAACATCTAAATGTTTTATATAACTGCTATATCACCATATTAAAATTTGAAAATTATTAGTCCCTGAACTGGATCTCTCATATCTTATTGATCAGTTATCAACACTTAACATTCGAAAGTACTTATGTACAGCTAGAATAGAAAAAAAATAGTAGGTGGTAATTTAGAATTTGATGAAAATTGATCACTGAGAATAAACCACAATTTTTATATCAGAGGGAGTATAATTATCAATGACCTAATAAGTGGTATGAATAATAACAGGACAAAATCTGAGTACAAAAATTATTCATCATTTGAGAAATGAAAAAGTATGTGGGAGATAACATTAGCAAAACAGATCATGCCAGATGACAGTCAAAATTTAATGTTCACAAGGATAAAGTGATATAGTTTGCATAGAAGTTGAATCATTCATAAATTTTTAAATTTCCTAAATTAATTGTAACAGTATATAGCAAATAGTAAATAGTGAAGAGAGGTGCCAGACTGTTGCAATATATATTGACTACAGAGTCTCCACATGCATCCCATGCTCTTAATCTTACATAGCCTATAAGTAGTCTTCCAAATCCATGGAGACTGTACAAGGAAACCTGCAACAGGCAGGTAACAAAGCAGTTTTAAGAAAAAAAAATTCTCCATTTACTTACTTATATTTAATATTTTTACTCCCCCAAAATATATACAACTTGTAATAACATAAGAGAGAACAATTTCAGACATGTCATTTTAACTTATTCTTGTGCCTAAATTGAATCAACCTTAAAACTGTATCAAATCAATAATAAATGGGATTTTTATTTTACCACATCATAGTCAATACAAGTCCTTTCCTACATGTGTCACTATTTGATCCATCTGTAGCTCATTGATTTGTAAGTAATTATTTAATACATACTGTCTGCCGACTTACCAAGCCTTAGGCACTGTCGCATTAGACCTCCAGAAGACATGTTTTTTTCAGCTTCAATCTCACTAAAATTTAGAGAACTGGCAAACACTAGTACATCAACCATTGCCATCAGACGGCTGAGAAAAGTTACTGCTGTCTCTGCTGACATTCCTTGTGTCACTTCGATATTTTCCAATTCAGTCTTTAAAAGGAGATAAGTGAATTAAACAGTTTGAACACAACTGAAATATAAAGACAGCACATACACATACAAATCTAAATTGTTATGCTTCATGACAAATACATTGAAAAGTTATTTAAAGATCTCCTGCTATTACCATTAACATAAACTGTGAGTGAAATTCAAAGGAAGACAGCATGAAAAGTGAGAAAATTATTTATATTTACATGCTGTAACAGACCAGAAAAAGTCTAATATAAATAAGAAAGTTATTAGCAATTACATAAAGTGTGGCCAGGTAGTAAAACAATGCATGGTATATAAGGGTGCAATGTACTCTTACGTTATTCCATAGGCTAAGCAAACTGATAGGTAACAGATGAAAGTAAGTACGCTTTTACATTCCTGTAGACAAACAAGTAAATGTGAGGAGTGGAGTGGGGAAAACTGGACAGTTTTGCCCCGTTTCCACAAATTGATTCTCCCTGGGAATGCTTATACCATATAGGAACCTGATAGAGTCCAATTCTTCTGGAGATCAGAAGAAAGTATGTTTACCCCCTCACAACAGCAACAGGGGGGAAGTGGAAACATGACAAGTTATATGGCGTGGAGCTCACATTTCCCAGAGGATGGCCATTTATTTCTTAATGTAGTGTTGGACTCTCCTTAATGGGAATCCACAGAAAAATGCTGAATGTTCTCAATATTTCTGCAATTTAAAAGAGGGTCATGTTTTTCTGTAAAAAGATACTTAGATGTCCAGAGTCATGTTGTCAAATGCATTCAGGTATCTAACAGTGCAGATAAGTGAGTAAACAGTAAGTTTAATTAAAAAAAAAAATAAATCTGCTTAAACACATTTATCTCTGGAGCTAGGCAAAACTGAAAATGGGATTTAGTACTTGACTGTGTCCACATTTATATGCCTAAATACTATTTTTAAAATTGTTTACACATGGCTGATTCTTGATTGTCAGCAAGATTTCAGATCACAGGGCTTTTCTGAACACAGAGTTCAGTCACTTTGAAAAGTATTACTTTCATTGTGTTTGTTTGTTTTTATTCATTTGCTTAGAAATATCTAGGAAAACAATTCAAAATATATTTTCTGCTGTTAAGGCCATTTCCTTCCAAAGAAAAAGAAATACAGAAGAAAAAAAAAAATCCTTCATTTCCAACTTCTAAAAAATTAGTATCCTCACTCATGAGTCACTTTTTAGAATACTTTACATAAAAATCATAAAAGTGCAAACTGTGCCAAACAGTATAAAGGAAACAACTGTTTTGAAAGATGAAGGATATAATGTGGCATGTGTCACCACAATGATAGATACCACTTCATTTAATTTCTCTTAAGGATGTAACATGTCAGTTACATGGGTGATTTGGGAAGGATTGTCATCTGTCTGATCTGCCCAACAATATCAGAAAAATGGTAAAATGACAACTCTCAGATGAACTATTTCCAGACTTTCTCCTTTAGCCAGGTCTCCCCCGCTTAGTGTGTGTTGTGTTCCTACTTTTTGGAAACATAAGTTGCTGTTTTTTTATAACAGACTGGAACATCATTTTGGAAAGCACTCATCCAAAGAAAATAGAAATCTATAGCCATAACAGTCTGCTAGAAAAACTCACAGGTTGTTACAGAAACCTGAACTTCAAACTCATGCTTGAAATAACATCAGGCTTGCTAGTAGCCAACTGACTGCTTGCTGTTGACTTTTCTCAAGCTTCAACTGTATTGCATCAGTGTCTTAAATCTACTCAGTATATCTATTGCTTTTTTTTTCAATTATGTAATAAATTCATTTTATATAACATTTTACCAAGATTTTTGCAAACTTTGAAATGAAAAAAAGAAAAATCTTTTTTTACAAATCTCCCTAAAATTCTGCTGGACGGAAGAAAAAAAAAAAGACTGACTTCTTTACAGCAAAACTTACCATCAGTTCTACCTGTTAAATATGGCACATTGATATTCTAATACTGTTTAAAATAAGCTCCATTGTTGATCAAGCTGCCTTCAGGTATTAGCAATATTTTAGATAGGTGTAGCTCAAAAACTCTTTAAAAAGTGAACTGATCACCATTTCATGACTATTCAGGATACTTTAAGAGCAGTAACAAGTCTCCCATACAATTAACATGTTCAGGGCCTAAAGAGTTTTTCTATTGACAGCAACATTTATAACTTAAATTAGCTCACAGACCTGCCTACGTTCAGTCCGGTAACAGTAAGAATCATACTTGACAGTGCATTAAGTTACTCAAGGGAAACATATTAGGAAAAGTTAATGATTACACCCCATATATTCCTATTTACATCCTACTATATGATATAGGAAAATAATAATAATAATAAAAAAGCCAAAATATTAAATGATCAAAAATAAGGTATTTTTGAAAATGCAAAAAACTGAAACTTACAGCAGCAATACTAACCTTAGAACCCTGGACATGCAACAGACAAAACAGACAACAGATCACAACAATAAAAGAAAAAGAAAATTATTTACGTTAACTAAAAATACAATGTAAAATTGAAACAAATTAGTATCTTGGAATTAGACATTTGTTTAATTTATAATTATAACAGCAAAACATTTCAGCTCAGCATGAACATTTGAAAAAAAGGCTTCTAAGAGATAGCTATGCACAAGGAAAACTGTAAATCTTGTATTATTATGGAGTTGATGTAAACACTGATTCTTCCAAACCAATGTACATCTTTTATATAGTACATAAAGCAATTTTGTGAAGCAATGTAAACCAAAGTAATGATTTCACTGATTATATAGAAACAAAATGTGTATTTTAGAACAAGCCATTTAACTGAAATGTAATAAAGTAGTTAATCTTTGTATGAGGAGGCAAATATGTTTAAAATGCTTTGACAAAACAAATGTAAATCACAAAAAGCAAACTGGTTCTTCATGCATAATGCTCCTTCCTTTGAAGCAACACATAGCTTATTATATATATTACATTTGGGTGTGATTTCTTCAACCTAAACCAATATCATACTGGATATTTGAATGCTTTTGAACCACAGGGGAAAAAAAAAAAGATTCACTAAGCCCCTGGGACTGAGTTAGTCTTCAAATTTCAATGTTCACAATTAAACAGCTGTGTAAAATTTTTATGTTTTAATTTTAGGTAGAAGCACTTTCTCTCTTATCACAATAGGCTAGGAACTAATCCTTAAGTTTTCACTAGTTATGTTTTAAAAAGAGAAAGAAACTGAATTTTCAAGCGTATGTCAGTATTTTTGTCATTTAAATAGTGGAAAAAACTAATCTAACAGAAAGAAAAACAAGCCGAAACAAACTGCTTGCTTTCCTTTTGGAACAGAAATTACCATGTTCAACCGGTTTTTAAATGTGTCTTCCTCTTTTGTAGCTGGATGCACCTCGAGAATTAACATATGGCTATTTTCTCTCAATTACTAGCTGACAATTTTTACATCAGTGTGCCACTGTTGATTCTCAGAATTGTTATAGATCACACAGCACCTGTGACATCACGAGTCATGAACATGATAACGATAATGCTAACACTATACACAGGACATACTGAAAAATATCTCATCTTGGCTTTTTATCCACAGACCTAATAAGGTTGTCTTTAAATGTTTCATTGAGTTTTGTAGACAGCCGTTTGTATCGCACCAGCCCTCAGAACACAATTTGAGAGCTGCTGTTTTAAATGCTGCAAGCAAGAATTAGAATTACGACTTCATAGTCATAAATAGTCAAAAAACAAACCAGTTGCAAGGAGTCTGGAAATTTACTCTCAATTGTCACATATTTTTCAACTCCTCAAATTTCTTTTGCCTTACTCAATGTCCTCAAGTCCTTTTCACAGCTGCTGCCCTTGCAGTAAGCAATGATTATTTCAAGTTCCTAGCTTGTACACAAAGTGTTTTATCTGGCAACCAGCTGCTATTAACAGAAAGCATCTTCTGCAAACCTTTTTCCTTACAGGTCCCCAAATATGCTTTTTTCACACTTGTACACCATCTTAAAAATGTCTTCTTTATAGCTGTAATTAAAAAAAAGCCTCAAAGACCTCCCCCACAGAAAGAAAAAAAAAAAAGGAAATCAGTATTTTATATTTTATGACCTCCCTATAATATTGGCAGAGTTATCTATTATCCCCCAATTTGATAAGCGAGACATCAGAATCAACAGTGGAACACACTCCAGCTTATATTGTAAAATAACAAAACTGGTTATATTTTTAAATATATATATATTTTTATATATATATTTACTTCCACTTCAAATCATTTCACATATGCAATTGACAACCCTTTAAACACACCAGCATTTGAACCAAGTCCTTGTTACAGACCCTGAGACAGAGGTGATACAGAAGTGAAATCAAGGGAAACACTAAAACATGTGGGAATAGATTACTGTGAATTACAGTAAACTTTCCCTTGTATTCCATACAAATGTATAACCTTCACTCTACTCTTCAGTCATGCACAGATTTGTGAGTGGTTTGTTTTCACAGATAATGCATTTTTTCTTTTCTTCCTATTCATATTTAAAGGCTCCTATTCACAGCACTACTCAGATCATCCTAGTCTGGATTAAAAAACCAAGGCAAAAGGTAGATTTCTATTACAAGAATTCAATAGTGAGGAAATTCCATGATTAAGATTGCCTGTTCTACAGCAGACAAGGGATCATGGAGTAATGTTCCACCCAGCCCAGAGTTGCCATTTCACTACAAATCCTAACTATGCAAAGGAAAAAGTCTTTTTGAAATAGGAAATTCCCCAAACATTCATCTTTTAAAAGAAAAGTGATGGTATTGCTTTTTCAGCAAGGGAGGGAACACAATACAGAATCTGTTGCACGAAAGAAAAAAAAAATCTGCAATTCCTCCAATATTCTGAAAGTCATTTTGCTAAATTTACCTCTTGGTTCTTTTCTGCATATAGCCTTAATTAATTCAAGCATCCATATCCAGTATGTATTCTACTAATGAGAAATATGTGAAATGCCTTTAAAAAAATGAGAGGCAATGGGACACATGTAGTAACAACTAACTCTATAGCAAATTGTTGAGAAGAGAGTTTTGTAATAGACATTTAGGACCGTTCAAGAACCAACAGCCCAGGATGAGGCCTTGCTTGAACTCAGACTGACACACTGAAGTCAAGGAACTATGGATAAGTAGGACTGTGAGATCGACAAAGGAATTGTGTGTTTCTGTCTGTCATCTTCTCCGTTAGAAAACAAGTAAGCTACCTCGTAAAAAGAGGCTGGATTCAGCTCCAGGTCAACAATCATTGCAGTCGATGGACCCTACAGGGATCTGGCTGACCAGCCACTAGATGTCAACATCAGAGATAGCTGAATCATTTGCTTCTATTGAGTAGATCTCCACTGGCTAGAAACCTAGTCCACATGTGAGTACATCAAGTGGATACGTAAATTTACCCTATTCTCCTCCTGAATTCCGTCCTGTTTTATCATCCCCAAGTAAAAGGGTGGAACGACCTTTGCTGTCTATTCTATAGCCTTTTTGCTCTCATATTTCATTATTCCAGACCAAAAAGTAAATTTATTTTTAGAAGTACATGTAAATTACATGTCCTATGCCACAAATACAACACACTAGGAGGAAATAAGTAAGAATTACTACTTTAAAATTTCAATATGGGCCCAAAAGGCCTTGAGTGGGAATACTTGAGAGTCACCATTCATGAAAGTGAAAAAGGAAGAAATGAAGTAAAATGAGCTCATGCTTGTTGATAAACTGAATATATGTATTCTACAGTATCTACAAAATGTGAGGGTTCTGACACCCCAGAAAATCTCTGCAGAATAGAGATATGGAGGATCAGAGGCTTTCAAAGACAGACAGACTAAACAAGATGAAGACTCTATGGATTCAAACAGGCACACCAGGAGATATGACTCAAGCCTACAAAGTCATAAATGATATGGAGATGAATAAAGACGCGATTAACCACTCCTTTCATAGCATAAACAGAAAGACACATAGTGACTTTATACATTTAAGCAGACTTAAAAAAACAAAGACAAGAAGTGCTTCAAAGGTTATGTAATTACTTTGTCAGACTCAATGCCATAGGATATTATGGAGGCTAAAAGCGTAAGTAGCTTCAAAAAAGATTAGATAAAGTCTAGAAGGATAAACTCCTCAGTAGTTATTAAACGTGACAGCCCGGACACTCTCTCTAGCTGTTAAAATCCTAAACGCTGAAATGAAGTATCATTAGAGCAATCAATACGCTTGCTCAGACTTCTGTATTTTGATGTAAGCTGCAAACAGTCACTGTTGGAGGCAGAATGCTAAACCAGCCGGGCCCTTGGGCTGACCCAGTAAGGCAGCTTATGTAAGACGTGGACAGCTTGCTTTTGCAAGAGTAGTGCAGTACTGCTTGACTGGACTTGCGATACCATGTCCAGTTTAAATTACAGAATCACAAAATCACACAGAATCACAGAATGGTTGAGGTTGGAATGGATGCATGAGATGTACCACAAAATTTGGACTGTATATCTTGTGGGGAAAAAAAAAAAATCATTAATGAAATTAACTAAAACACAGCAGGTTCCATCTGAAAATCAAGAAACACTTTTTTGCTGTGAGGGTGACCGAGCACTGGCACAGGCTGTCCAGGGAGGTGGCAGAGTCTCCATCCTCAGAGATACTCAAAAGCCATCTGAACACAGTCCTGGGCAACTGGCTCTAGGTTGCCCTGCCTGAGCAGAGGGGTTGGATCAGATGACCTCCAGAGGTCCCTTCCAGCCTCAACCATTCTGCGATTCTGCGATTCTTTGAATCGGTGAGGGAAAAAGAGTATTGGCTCTTTCCTCCCTTGAGAGTTACTCTGGCAAGAAAGTGTCACTAGAAGCCCTGCTGTAAGTGTTTTTATGCAGTGGAGACGTTACATAAATCTTCCTGTTTCAGATCTCTTCTCTCTTCCAATTAGCAGCTCTTGGAAGAAGGAGAGTGAGACAGTCTTCTGTAACTGATTGTAAGCACTGGACTACTTTGCCCTTTCAAGACTGAGAAGAAATATGTTCCTCACCAGCAGTCCATCCACTTTCTCCACAGCAGTTCAAGGATGCAAAAGTATTAGAAGTCCGAGAATCAGTACAAAACTTCTTTTCATTCATCATATGGTGGATATGCAGAAGTGGTCTGATGCCCAACAGGGCATCTGGTCCCTTCATAACTGTGATCCAGAACAATATTGAGGGAGAGCACCTACTCGAAGAAGGACATGCTGGGCTTTTTGTATCTGTCACAATGATGAATAAATCCACCTTCCTCCTAATGTTTATGGACAGGCAATGATGGAACAGGAATGGAGTTGAATGGGAGGGAAGAAGCTCTCTGCTAGGTGAAAATGATTCATCATCTAGACGGTAACGGTTATTTCCAGGTGAAGTTAGTTTGTGATTTTATCAATTACGTCTCCCCACTCTCCCTGTACATCTGGTACAAAAGTAATCACTTTTTTTTTTTTTTAATTTCACAGAGTAGGATTAATTCAGTTTGAAGCCAACTACTGATCTTTTAGTGAATTAGTTTATTTCACAATTTATTTTTATTTTATGATCCTAAAAAGATAGAAGAATTGAGCATTGAAGTAGTACACACAGTCCCCATGTAGTGGAGAAATGCATGCATAGTACACAAACTTGAAAATATAGTCTTTTGTACCAATGCATGAAAATCACTGCTATTCTAGCAAGGCAGTATCAACACACAATATTTCAACAAACGGATGTGTAATTTATAAAGCTGTATCAGCTATCTATCTATACATGCACACACACTTATATATTTATTATCCAGAACAGAGGGAAATGGTGAACTGCAAAATTATTATTCTATGGAATGGCTCTGCAGTGTCATAAACCAGGATAAGAGCTAAAAAACACCAAGACCATTCAATGGACTTGCAACCTAATTAATTCTGTGCCTGTTTTATTTTTTTATATAAAAGATGGCAATGAAAACATCTTCATTTTCAAATGATGTCTAAAAGGTTTGTTTTAAAAAATATCTCCCAATGTCCTTTTATCTAAAGACCGATAGTACAGCCTGCATCTCAAGATGGCTTGGTGTGTACTCTCTCATACTTGTCAATATTTACAATGAAGCACTTGCAAAATCTTTTATTCAGCAACCTTGATGTCATTCTTGTGACTACAGAGAACTGAACTCTTTCCTGTGCGTCTTGCACTTTTGCTTATAGCAAATATTTTCCCAGTTAACACAGTGAAAATAGTGAAGACACGGCATTTAACCATTAATTGCCTGGCTGAAAGTGATATTAACGTTTAGCCAATTGCTAGCCCATACAGTCATACCGTTCAAATAAAATCATGCAAAACAGGTTTTTTTGCTAGCTAACTAGAATAGTAGAGGCGAAGTAAAGTAACCTCAATTGCTGAACGGCTAGAACAAGTGTCCTGGTTTTGGCAGGGATAGAGTTAATTTCCTTCCTAGTAGCTGGTACAGTGCTGTGTTTCGGATTTAGCATGAGAATAATGCACATTATCAACAGGGTTGATAATACACCGATGTTTTAGTTGTTGCTAAGCAGTGCTTGCACTAGTCAAGGACTTTTCAGCTTCCCATGCTATACCATTCCATACCATGTGATGTCATGCTCAGTACATAACCTGGGGAAAGCTGGCCGGGGGGGCCGCTGCTCGGGGGCTGGCTCAGCATCAGTCAGCAGGTAAGAAGCAATTGCACTGTGCATCACTTGCGTAGATTATTATTATTACATTATTATTATTATTGTTATTATTATTTTATTTCAATTATTAAACTGTTTTTATCTCAACCCATGAGTTTTCTCACTTTTACTCGTTCAATTCTCTCCCCCATCCCACTGGGTGGGGGGCGGGGGGCGGGTAGTGAGCGAGCGGCTGTGTGGTGCTCAGTTGCCGTCTGAGGTTAAACCACGACAACAAGGAATTGGGCTTTTACTCCCAAACCACATTTGTAGCCTCCAGTGCCTACTAGCCACATTACTTCAGAGGAGCCTCTTTGTCCCTTTTTGGCCTCATTTTCTCCCCTTTCAAAGACCAATACTAACTGCAGATGCTTACGGGATGTTCAAGATAAAACATTTAGTATGAAAGAAATAGTTACAGATATTATGTGCACAGACAAGGCATCACATTCTAATACTGTAATTACTATTGACAATAAAGCAATATTTACAAAATATTTCTCCCTTTTTCATGAAGCATTCTATTAGGCTACTCTGCCTGCCTGAACTGTGATCACCTAAGTAATTACAGCTTACTAAGAACATCGGAGTGGATAAAAATATCAGCCTATTTCAATACAAGATTTAAAAAAAAAAAAAGGAAACGAAGGTCAGGACCTACTGAAGGAAGAACTAAACAGAGTAGCAAGGGGACGACTTCTGATATGATTTGGCATGCAAACAAATGGTGGCCATGCAAAACAGATTTATGAATATCAATGACTAGCCATCATGAAGCATGTAATTTTGTTACAGTAATCATGATTTGTAACCATGATCCTAATGGTCTTCTCTTTCAAATGAAATATTAAATATCTATGAAATATTATTCTTACTTAGTACTACTTCTCTAATACAATTAGCATTTCAAATGCAAAATATTATAAACACTGTATATCAAAGCTTAACAGTTTTGATTATAAATGTAATTTTTTTGAAAGAATTAGCAGAGAGGGGACAGGAGTTTCTAAAGAAGAAAAGTCAGCTGCAAATAGTGGTTTGTATTAGTAACAACAATTTCTAATATGACCACTAGGTGGAAATATTGTACTTACAGTTGGGGACGTGGCTGCTGACAGCAATGGTAAAATTCCTCCACAAGCAATAATAATATTGTCTACCATCTGGGAAATGAGGTGTATTGTGTTGTGTACAAAAATAATATTTTCATTGCTATTGACAAAGTCCATCACAGACTTTGTGGAGTGGCTGCAAGAACAGAAGAAAGGATGGATTAAAAACAAACAGTTAAAATAAAAGTTTAGTTAAATTTATTCTTTGCAACCAGACCGTGACTGTTTCTTTGATATAAAGGCAAAATCTTGTCTACAAAACTTTGCATGTAAATTGTCTAAAAATATGAACAGGACTAGTCTAATGAACAAATTGATTGCTACCTATTTTCACACCAGGATTAGCTTCAGATACCCAGTTGAGAACAATGGCTCATAAACTTTTATTCCTATCAACCAGTACTTCACTTCACAGGCAGCTCTGCTGAAAGCAGTAGGGTTGTTTCTTCAGCGTGAAAGTTATTATTCAATATTAAGAGTTCACCATACTGCACCAGTGCCATTTGAAGCACCCCTGATAGCACCTAATGATAACACCTGCTAGTGTTTTAAAGGAGAAATTTGATAATATGGTGATACCTTGATCTAATATTAACTTTATTTCCTAATATTAAATTTAGCATTAGCAATAGCTTTGCAAGCCACAGATGATAATAAGATTAGCTGAAATCTCAGCAACTCCTAATTGGTGAGTAATTGTCCCATGAAACAGTCACTCCCCCAAAATATAAAACATTGTGTGAAAATATTGCGAAATACTCAGTCTACAAGTAAGCTGTTCCCAAAACAACATTGTGGCCAGCCAGCAAACAAAAATTAGGGGCTTCAGTTGAAAATATACAAACTGAACTTTAATCTCCAAACATTACCTAAACACAAAGTACAAACCCCTTCCACATATGTGGCCAAAAAAAAAAATCAAAATTGTCTATTTCCTAGTGACTATCACAGAACAGTTCACCAAACTGGAAATTAAATGCTATATAAATTGGTCCTTGGCTATAATTATGCTCAAGTTTTCTGAAAATGGCCGATTCTGTCCTGGAAATTAGATTAAATATTGTCTGGTACACCTAAGGGCTCTGATAACAATGTTATTGAGTATGTCTGTTAAAGTATACAAAAAACCTAGGAAATCACATTGCTGTCATAAAATATAATATAACCACCGAGACTAACTTAACCAGGAGCTGGCATGCAAAAAAAAAATTGTCAACTAGAAAGAGTGATTCCTTAGAAAATATTATAAGAAAGAGCTTTTATTTATAAGGTTTGCAGGTAGAGAAGCTCTCTTTTAATTGATCAGTTGAAAAAAAAGGCCATTAGCAGACACACAAGTCTTCCTCATGTCTGAAACAGAAGCAGCAGATTCTAACACTAAACATAAGCTGAAAGAGCAGCTCAGTTTAGTTAGGTGTGTATGAGTTATACAATCTCTCAAGAAAACATAAATTGTTACCTGTGAAATAGAGCTGTTACAGGCTGGGAAGGGGTGAAAAGAGAAGATACAAGATACAGAAGGGCACTTCAGCTAACACCAATTCTTTCCCTTTCCACTATCCCAGTAACATCCCCTCTACAACGCAGCTAATTTTTCCTTGTTGATGGAAATGCAAAACAGGAGTTAAAGAAGAAACAACCATCTACCTTCTCCAAACATGTACATCTGTTTCTAGTGCAAAAAGCAAGTCTGTCAGGAGCCGCTGATGCATAGGAGACCATTTAAACTCTGGAATACGAAACATAGTTGTGCGTGGGCCTGGACTAAACTGTCGTCGCTGCTCTTCCGTCATTGGCATTCCTCGAAATCCCAAGTCAACACGTAAATCCCGGTCTTGCTGGGTGACGGATCGACCCTGTACCGCCTACATCAATAAGGAGTTCAAAAATCATTTTAATTTTTTGTAATGTGTTTTTGAATGGATCACATAATTTGAGAAAGGATGGGCTAAAACTGGACTCGAGCACAAACTATAGGCGATATTGATATTCCAAGGCAGGCAGTATCCTTCAGTAAAGGATTTGCTCCAATTCAAATCAATCAGCACTGAGGGGCTACGGCTGGCCTTCCTTTCAGCTATTCACCAATGTTCTACACTCAGGTTCTTCACTTGAAGTATTACAGAAAAGACCAAATGCAGCACATACAACATCAGCGGTGACAAGACTTTTTTTTATTGGAAACAACTATTCTTTTGTGCTGATAACACAATTTTATTTGAATATTTGACTCTAAACATGGACAAACTACACAGTGATGGCTTCAAGGAATCAGTGTACTTTTAGACAGCTCCTCATTTTCCAAAACCAATTTATTTACCTGGTCTTTTTAGCAGGATCATTAGAGAATCAAGTCTAGTCTCCCAAATCTCATTTTGCCAATTTTGTTACACTTTGTTAATTGGTTAACAGTTTTATGGATCCTCAGGACATTCTTTAGATTCTCCCAACAGGTGGTGGATGTGCATTTCATTCCCTTTCAATACCTACACAGTCAAGACTGTTTCCATTTGGTGATTAAAGACAAAAGTAAAAGATACACATAGAGGATATGATAGAGAATACCGTGAAGGAAAAAGTAGTAAAGAACAAACATTTTGACTGAATTTGAGGCAAATATTCATAACAACAAAGTTACTTATAATGTGCAACATCTCTGAAAGGAAGAAATACAAAGTCTGATCCTTGAAATTATTTTAAAGTGACTTTAGACTAGCTTAAAACTGGCAAAATGGAAAATATGCTTGCTTTGCTCACATATTCATTTCCTGATCTCAGCACACTGTTTTAAATCTGGACATTTAAAAGCAAAAAGAAATTTATGAAATATTTTGTGCTAGCGATGTAAAAATGGACATGGCATTGGCATTGAGCTGGAAAGCTTAGATCTTTAGTCTGATTTTGATCTTCTGTAGCCAGCATTTTGAGAGCAGGGCAGGTTTCCTTCATTCAATTTGACCTATTGGGATCAAAATTGTTATTGTTGCTTTCATTTCCTGTGTTTTTCTTAAAGTTATCTTTAAATTATTATTTTGGTTTTTTCTTAGACTTATCTAAGATTTGAATTTTTTGCATGAATCTTCTGCATAGTGCTTTCAATTCTATTTTCAGTCTTTCCTAGTTGGGACCATAGGAAAGAGTTAATTTTATATTCTTCAATATTTGATCTACTATTGATAAAGGCATTAACTCTTCTTAGAAGTAAGCAGGAGTTCCCATCTCTACTTTGTTGTGCAAGCTGTTGCTTTCTTTCAGTCCATTTCAACAAGGCAGCTTACTTCTTACTGATAAGGTGGGGAGCTGATTGTAGATTGGTTTTAGAGAATTTGAATACAATCCATTCACATACCACTTGTTTTCTTTTGGGTACAACTACAGGTAGTTGTCATATCAGCAGCAGTAACGGTATCATAACTGTACCATAACAGGAAAGCTTTTATCTAGCCAATAATACTGTATTTGCAAGAATGGGCTTTGATGTGCATTGCATAAACCACCATGAAACCCAACTATCTACACTTGGGTGGCCAGTGTTTAAGTCGTTTTCAGCGTTTTCAGTGGTCTCAAAGAGATCAGATCTAATGTGTGATCAAATGTGATCAAATCTAATGTGTTTGATCTCAAGAGATCAAATACACAGTGTGCATGTGTTCCCATGCATGCTGCAATCAAAACTTCAACCTCTGGCTCCACTGTAGACATGTTAAAATTAACATTGCTTTTTACTCATGAGAAGAATAATGCTTGACTAATGTTTTATTTAATACATATTTCCATCTTTTTTTATTAAGGTTAATTTCATTTAAACAGAAAAGATTTAACTATGGATGGTTTACCATTCACAGGGTATTTCGAAACACCCAAAGAAGAGATTAGAAGATAACAACAATTCTGGTGGGTACACTTGTTGATAATTGTTTTTAAGAAAATTATTTAAAAGAGATAATAATGGCTACAGACTTAAATCAATTCATTGTAGTTTATAATTGATTTTAGTGGGAAATAACTGTAATTTAAGTAGTATATGGAGAATCAAGGGAGATAAATAACTCATAGAGTCAGACTCTTCAAGAGTACACAATTTGTAGATAATTTGCAGATCCAAATGATATATTAGGAATTTTTTGAGTAGCTAAGAGTAAAACATTTGGAAAACATTTTGTTTCTCCTATCTTACAATGATCTGATAAAAGCTTATTAAGGTTTATGTATCATTTTAATCCTAACAAATAATTATAGGCTTGAGGAATTTACATTTTTATAATTCAACTGTTATAGGTGAAATTCATTGAGAAAAGAGGTTAAAGAACAGAAAAGTACTGAAGTCACACCAACAGGATTTTCTACAGTAGCTAGTACAAAGTCAGATTATCTTTTTCATTAAAGATTTATCTTTCAAATTCACTGTGTTTATGGCTGCATATATGTACATAGCAAATGAATACTAGCATTTCGCTATTATTTTACTCTTTAAACAAAGATCCACATTTCAAAATAAAAACTGAGTGCTCCTTTTTCTTGCTAGCCTCCATTCATTCCATTTATCCGTTTCCATGGTATTAACAGTCTTAATTTTAAGACTTAACGTAAGGTGTTTGGGAACTGATGGTAATAGATACACTATTCCTATCGAGAGCTTTCAGGGCTTGTTCTTTATTACAAAGAATGCTTTTAAATATAAGGATCCCTACACAATGCTTGATAGTCTGTTACTGTTGTTATGAGGATTTTCATATTTTTGAAAAATACTTACAAGAGAACCCCCAACTTTTCTTATAATACTTGTCTAGGGAATGCAAGAGCTCCATCTGCTTTTCTCTTCAAAACAGAGGTTCTTACCATAGAAGAGAGACTTAGAAGAGAGTGTTCTTTCTATATGTCAGAACCCACTGGTCTGTGTAACTGGTTTTTTAAAAAGGGAAAGTTTCTGTTTTAGAAACCACAGGTTGTTTAACTAAATTAAAACGTCCATTCACTGGAGGTTTTCTGAAACTACTGTCTTCCTGAATAACAAAGCAGGCAGGCTGACCTGTGTTCTTTTATCGGATGACATGTACTTTGAGTGTACGTGAATGTATCTCTGCAACTCTTTCTTCTGACGATTTGGTACACACTACACAATACTGGGCAGAGCAATCTTTGCAATTGTTGTTTGGCTCTTCTTCCATAATTTTAGGAAGTCTGCCTGACTTTTAAATCCTAGAAGATAAATACTGGTGTACATACTGGACATATAGTCAGCTAGTAAAATCTTGAAGGTAGTCAATTCTTTCACCTGATAACATCATTAAAAGCAATCTTTGATTACATGCTACAGTCTCTGAACAATGCCAGTGAGGAAATTAATTCTGTGCTTTAAAAGTTCAAAGTGATCCTATATTTTGCTGTGTATACAGAGTACAAATTCTTTCAAAGAGTAGACTTCTGCCTTGGCCTTCCCATTTTCAGAATGCTATGGCTCTCACAAAACCACTATTTTTTCAGAATTTTTCAGAAGGAGACCTAGACAAGACAGGATCTCCAAGAAGTAGATACTTCTTCTTTTATTAATCATCTCTGGTCTGGAAATCAAGTCACAGTTTTTCTTCTGTTATCCCTAAACTATTCCTTTTCTTGTGTTAGGATCAAATATGGAGATTATTTATGCCAGCATTCCTGTATGGGAAGAAAGACAGTGTACTAAGTGCTGTAAGACAACATTCTGAGACAGGTACAGCAAGAGTAAAGAATACTTCAATGTGTGTTTCATAGTAAAATATAGATATTTCTAATCTTAAGACATACTAACAAGAAAGTCTAAAGCAGAATTCTAAGAGTATCAGTTAATCTCTCCACAACAACTAAGGAAAATGGATGAGAGATTCTCTTAGCTTTTTTTTTTTAAACTAAAGCATCCACAATTGCAATACATATTTTCTATACAAACATGAAAGACTTCACAATCCTTATACATGTTATGGCATTTTCAAAGCAAATAGGCTTGGAGGATGGAGACCTTCCATGTAATTAAAGAAATACACGTCAAACATCTCTCAGATCTCATACTATTAATTTATCCAGCAGCAATGAACAGCAATTACATCAGACAAATACATGGCTACAGCACTTGAAACTTACCTGGGTTGTGGTAGTTGTCTGGATCTTCCGTATCTCCTTTCCTGCTTCCTTACCATCATCAGATCTTTCCGTATCTGATATTATACTTCCTGCATCAACACTAGGTACAGTTTTGCTACCAGAAGACTCTGTCTCAAGAGTTGTGGCAGTCATTTCAGCATATTCTAATCCTTTAGATGATGAAGCCAACTCCCTCTCAGATATGCTACTCATTCCATCTGAAGTTGTGTGAATCTTGAACTCCTTGTCCTCTATTATACTTGAAGCACATGTTATATCTACACTACTCGTCATATGTGCAAGCAATCCCAAATCATCATTTACACCAAGATGCATCTGTGCCTCTTGCACATTTGGAATAGAAATGTGATTACTTGAAAGTTCAGGTAGAAGTTTCTCCTCTTGACTAGGTATTTTATCAAAGAGAAATGAGGTGCTGTTAGTAGAAGGTTCATCTTTCTCATCAGCCAGAGTTATTAATGGACCATTATCTTTTTCCTCATTCTTCTTAATAATACCCACACTTCCATGAACATTGTTTTGCAGTTTCTCAACAGCAGCGCTATATACATTATCTAGAAGAGATTCAACTTCTACAAGTGCACCATTTTCTCCAGTTACCAGTGTCTCTGGTGATAAATCCATATCATCAAGTTTTACTTCAGTAGCTTCTACCTTTTCAGCTTTTATATCAACTAAAAGGTCATGAACTTCCACATGCACTCCTCCTCCTGATCTCTCAGCACTTCCAAGCACATCATCTGACACCTTTGTAGCCATGAGCAAGTCCCTCGTATCTGTACTGACAGGGTAATCCGTTTCACTTTCTGGACTTTGGCTTTGTGAAAGGTCTTCTATCTCTCGAATTTCCATTCCACCTTTTGCTCCTGTTGTCTGAGAGGAAAGACCTGAGATAGTGCTCACGTTCCCCTTCTTCCCCTTTTTTATGTTTTCTTCCTCTTGCCTTTGATACTCTTCATACATTTTTGCTAGATACTCCTTGTGAGCCTCATATGTGACCTTAAAACGAAAAGAACAGATTATGTGGATGAATATATGCTACATGAACTCGGACAAAAACTAACAAGAATCTTAACCGCATATTACATACAGCTTACAAATTGTTTCACAGCAAAGGATCTACAACGATGACAAAAACCAGCCACCTTGACATGTATGGAGATAGCCACCAGATGGCACTAAATCACTTCACATCTTATCTTACTATATTGCTAGTCCTTTTGGGGGAGTTACCAGTATTAAAAAAACATCCACGAGCCATTTCTTACCTTGGAATGAGCTATAGAAAGAGTATCCACCCACACTCTCCAGCCTCCCCATTCATATTTTATTGCATGATACAAGAGAATACGGAAAATGTTGTAAACCATCTCTGTGATCTTCTGCTCTTCAGAGTTCTTAGGGTTAATGTATCCCAGAGAAAACATCCAGTCCTGCCACACTGAACACTGAAGTAAACATCTAAAGTGAAATAATTAGGTCAAAATATATCCAAACAAAGCTTCTTTATTTTAACATTATGATGGTTAAAATAGGAAGAAAATAATTTGGTACATCTCCTCTGAACATCCATCGAATGGTGGGAAGAAACTTAAAAATACTTCAGGATGAATAAAAATTTAAAGTATATTCTAAACAGAAGAACGCAGTATTAGTTTTTTAACTAAGAAAAGTTACCAGAGACCTATTCTATTTATTTTTTATACATTCCATTTAACATACAGTATAAAACTCTACACAGAGTACAACAGATTGCTATTACCCACAAGTCAAGGCCGAGAAAATACTACTTGTAGTGACATACCTTCTGTTTTCACGGCTATTACTAAAGAGTTTTATCATATCAGATAAGAACAAACGTCGAACTTCCATCAGCTCTGCACTTGGCGTGGAGTTTTTTAACAGCGTAGCCACCACCTTAAGAATCACTTTGAAAGAATAAATTAGTTACATAACACATTTTAACAACATTTAAAAAAAAAAGTTGCTGACAGCAACTAATGTAATTAGTAACTGAAACCCATATGTATTTGAGATACACTAATGAATTGTTCTCGCTTCCTGAACCATATTCTTTAAAAAAAACCCATAACCTCTATGCAATACATTTATCATACAAACATAATATATTGTCCTTACTTGGATTCTGAATTTTCACTGTAGAATCTGGCTCTGGATGCGGTTTATGAACAACTTGAGTGCATACCTGTTCTGTCAAAATCTGAAATAGAATATTAAGTTCCTTTTACCATTTTTAATTAAACACTACAGCATCTCTTTGTTAATTTTTAAATTTGTTAAGAACATTTACCATGGCCACACTGTAACTTCATAGAAAACATTTTGATAAAATATTTTTATTCTTGAAGAATGGAAATGAGCAATTCCTCTACGCAAGGATAAAGATTTTCACGGATGCACAGTGGCTGGTTAACTAACGGTTTAGTTTAGTTAGCTGACTAAATATACAATAATTGTGTTTTAAAGATATTTCATTCATATTTCTCATAGTGTTACACATTCACAGATCAAAAACTCTTTCATAAGCACTGTACAACAAAAGTTATTCTCATACATTTCATCCATAACCAAACCCAGTATTTCTTAAAAGTGGGCTTGGTTTTCTCCAGCTAGGAGAGAGGAACAGTCACAGACAGCATTCCATAGGAATAATCCTGGGGCTTCACATCAGCAAGACAGATCATTCTCCTGCTTCATGAATTGTACCTGACAAACTAATTAATCTGTATTGAGGCAACACCACAGAACTTTCACACTAGGATACCTGTCACAAGTTCTATGTATGCAACTTTATTTTTAAGGACAAGCTAAAAATTTAATGATATTCACATGGGATTCTCAATAAGTATATTCAAGCAAACGTATTTCAAAATAGAATCATTTCACTAGTAATTCTTATTTATTTTAAAGCAGAAATTTAGCTCGTTCATTAATCAATAATCAAACTAATGTCAGTTGTAAATACAATATCTTTGACTGTGTCTTTACATACTGGTATTTAAAAGAGAATACAAGTATGCCTTTGCTTTTTATGAGAGAACATGGAAAATATCTGCGTCAGTTCCTTGGCAAATCTTTTGTACTTCTGGCACTTAACTCCTTTTTCTCCTCCTCTGGCTATTTTTTCAAATGTAAATGTCTGTGGATGCTGGACTCCATGAGGACTTTAATTTTGTCACTGAGTTATGCATTTTCTGAGAATACCAATCACAGAAGCTCTCAGAAATCTGAATGTAGCTACATCTAGGCTGAGACCCAAGCTGTCAAACCACATAAGGTAAGCTTAGATATGTGCAATAAAAAGGAACTTAATGTCTGAGTAAGTCATTGGCAAATAGATGACATTTAGTTTTTTACAATCATAGGAGAATGTCTTCTACATCATTCAGACTCAGAACCCTAAATATCAAGCACTCCTTTAGTCTTCCATGTCTTTTTTGGAGTCAATCCTCAGTATCTAGCCATTACACCTATTTGTAACTGAACAAAAAATAATAGCATAATTAAAAAAACCCCAACTTTCTACTGCATAAGGTCCTCAGAAATTGAAAAAGGTTCAATTCTAAGTCACTATTTTAAAAATAATTGAAGATTGGATGTGATCTTTATGCATTTGCAGGCATGAGGACATAGGCTTCGACTAACTTGATGTTGACAATATTTTCCTTTAACAAAATTACTCATCATCAAAACTAAAGTTTCTACAACAGCCTGGTAGAACAGTTGAATGCTTCGAGGTCATATTTGCCTCAAGCAGTATCTGTTACATAAAAGTGGCTGTGTTCAGTTATCATTTTGGCATACTATCAGCATTACAAGTTAAAAAACAGTACTTTTCAAAATTTTGTAAACTTGAAAGGAATGGCACAAAAAAAGAAAAAGAAAAAGGAAAAAAGGCATCTCTCTGGCTCCAGTACTTTCCTTTGCAATGGACGAGTAAGAAAAATTGCAGGTCTCCACTAACTTTTTTTTTTTCCTGTGTAAAATGATGAACAACTTAAGTAGCAGGATCTTTTCCATCACCCTTTGTAATGCTGTAAGTGTAAAGTTTTAGAGACTATGTAAAAATTATGACATTGTTAATTAAAATATCCAAAGTATGTCAAAATATAATCTGAACCAAGAAATCCTTTCTTAAAATTTCTATCTAAAATTTCCTCAAAAGTCTTGAGAATCAGGATATTGTAAAGCACAGAGTCACAATATAATTAAGTCATAATTTTTACAATAGAGATGATGATCTCTATGTTTAATAATTTGTACCTCATAAAGTGTGTTATATGTTGTAACGGTCACCGTATTTGTATGCAGCATCAACCTTTCTCCAAGAAGAGTGAAAAGACTGTGAGTATGCATGATTTCAACCTTTCGCCTGGAAGAGAAAATAAAAATATTAGGAAAATGCCAAGCTGTTGAACATTTTAAGTAAATGCAAAAAAACCCAAAGCCAAATATTTTGATGTTGTACTACAAAGTTCTAAAACTTGTTATTCTGTAAATATTATGAATTAAACATCATTTAAGATCTTTCGCAATATGAATGCAATTGTAGTAATACACAAAGGTTCTCAGAACATAATGCTGTATTTGGGATGGGCTTTTGTATAAAACAAATGACACACCATTCTCACCCTCCATGATTTTCACAGTGGAAAAAGACAAAGGAATCCCTTTCTGTCTTACTCAGGCTGAGAGAGTTCAAGACGTTCACAGGCTGGCTAAAATGTGGTCACTGCAGAACGTATCTTTTGTCTCTCTCTCAAGGACTCAGGACAATCCAACCTCAGATATTCCAGCATAAATACTAACACATATAGATTTATCAGTACGGCCATTCTCTTTACATAGCATTCTCTCATGTAGCCAAAATAATTAAATCCTGGAACAACATACGTTACAATGCAAAGGAAATAAAATCCTGAAAAGTTATGAAATTCCAAGTGATTGAAGTGACTTTTATAGTTAGAATCAAAAACTACTCAAATCTTAAAAAGCAGAGAAGAAAGCAGCTCACATCAGTGAATTCCATCTGTCCTAAAAGAGTACTCTCTTAAAATTGGATATAACATCATAAATAAAGAGTACTTCTCATAAATTGCATAATTAAATTTATCTACTATTGTAATGAAATATGAAACAAATTTGAATAAAAACATTATTCAAAATAATATATTAAAGCAGCAGAAAAATATGAAATAAGATAAAATACAGTAAAGTTTCTGTAAAATTTTATGCATTCAAAAGCTAAGAAAATCCCTTTTCATGATTACTGATGATAACACAGGTTTAAATTACATAGATTCATTCTAGAACTTTTGAAATTAATACATTACATTATAATTTTCAAATAACCACAAAAGAGTTGCAACAACTTATAACAGTGTGTACTCTTCTGTGAGTTGCTTATGAGAAAAACTATGGGTATTCAACCTTGTGAGCTATGATGTAGCACACGGAAGCCAAAATTTGTTGGAAGGTTTAAATGTGCAGATAAAAACCAAAAGTAAATAACGGACTATGATTTCGGTGGTGGCGTAGAAAGAATCAAAGATGGCAGAGAAGGAAAAGAACAGGATTTTGCCAACTGTTAAGGTTAGACAAAGTAGTCTATCATCACAGATCACAAAGAAAAATAAATTAAGTTATTCAGACTCTCATCTAACACATTACTGGTCACTACTCCTAAGAATCAATTACCTCCATTCTATAGCTTAATCTACGATGAACGTATACGAACTACAGCAATGGTAACTGGTTTTGTACCTATACAGTTGTTATTAATATTGTATTGGTTACATTTCATAAATCACATTATAACATCTCTTTATGCAATTCTGCTTTAGTGTATTAAAATACAATGCCTGTTTCCTGTACTGTGAAACAGAAATTTAAGTGCTTTATATTTTCATGTAGTTTATAATTTTATAATCGCTTAGAATTTCCTGTAGTTGACTACAATTTTATAAAATCATGCATATGCACACGTATGTATGTGCACAAATAGGCACACCTCACAAGCCCTAGCTGTACGATATGAAAATGGGGTGGGGGGGGGAGCATTTTTACTCGCTGAAGTCTACATAAAATGTGAACATTTACAGATGTTTGGAGGTCTGAAAATTAAAAAAAAACTTTGAAAGTTACACACAGTATTCAAGTGGATTTCAATGACTTCGATTACATGAAAAATAAAGTTATTTAATTTTGTGCTAAGTACATACTTTCACTCAACAATGGAAACTACACTGACACATCCATAATTACAAGTAGATGCTAAGGACCGGGAAATGAAATTTCAACTTCTGAAAAATCTCACTTTTCTTTTTCTGTAATGTTCCACTGACAGAGTTTGCTACTTGATTTACTGGATAAGTGATAAATATTTTAAACAAATGTACTTATCTGGACACAACCAGGCTTCTGCACAAGTCAAACCTTCATCTGGTCTATCTTACTTAATCCAACTCCTATCAACGTAAATGATTTTTAGTAAGTAATTTTTGAAAAGCCCTTGGAGATTCTCGAGTGGACTGTCAATTTGCCTTATTAATTCCCAGAACACTATTTGGCTTGCTGGATCCCAAAAGAAAAATCCCATTTGGGAGCATATTCTCAGCTAACTGTCTCTCAATTATACAGTCATACTTTATTGATCTTACTGAGAAAAGCATGTCTAGCAATACCGCATTCTGGCTGGACTCCTAGCTCCTTTCCCTTCTAAGGAGGTTTCACATGATGATGTCTCTTGTGAAGCACACGGTTAATTTTTATACTGCACAGTCTCCCACTGGAATATTGTTGTGGGTTAACCCTGGCAGACAGTTACGCACCACACATAGAAGGGGAAAAGTGAGCAGCAGCAGATTACACAGCACTGCATGCTTTTTAATTCTTTCTTAACACCAAAATTTGGAAGAAGAGACTAAGTACATCTATTTCGTGTCACATTTTGTATGTGAATATTTCTTGCATAGAGGTATGTCCTTACCTCCTTTTTTAATGATCATTTACTTAGTCTGTTTGCTTTTCCTTCCAAAACTTTCCCATGTGAATAACGTATTTTTCTATTTCATTTTTCCCATCATTTAAAAGCTATTTTTAGAAGTACTGCCCTGAAACTTTTATTGCAATGACACTGAAAATTCCAGCAACAAATTTTTGATGACACTCACATGTTTCCTATTATCTCTAGCTGAACATACAATACACATTTATAAAATGTATTTTTGGAAAATGTTTTTCAATCGTTTTAAGACTTGAATTTCAGCATATCATATATTTGGCAGACAATCACTGTATATTTTCAAACACCACAGTAGTAAAAAGTTAACTGGAAAATTAATTTTATCCCAATGTATAAAGGTGTAAGTTATTAATCAGAAAACCTAACAATTTTAAGTAATTTCTAAAGACTGTCAAAGAATATACAGTAATCATGACAAAAAGACAAGAAGAATTGTGAACTTAAATACATCACTATAACAATTTTAAAACTACACTTACTTATGACCCAAGTGTTTAAGAAAATATCCAAGGACCTTCAAAGCTTGAACCCATATACTCTCGCTTTTGGAAGCCAATAATTTATAAATAACTCTAAAAAAGAAAAACAAGTTCAACAAGTTTTTTCAGTTTATTACTAAACTTCACATATATAGATTGTATTTCACTGAACAGGGATATTTCTTAATAAATAAAACTATAAAAATAGCAATTTACACAAAATGAAAGGATATACTGAAAGCACCAAGCACAGCGCAAGAGTTTGATTATGAATTCTTTAGGTTACAGACACGGTGTCTTCTGGTTCAGTTCCGTGTTTTATAACAGAAAGCGACAACCTTCTGTCATACCTCTACCTTGGAACAATCAAATAAAATAAAAGACAGTCTGAGCAGTTGTAGCTGAAGACAAGAGAAGCAGATTGGAGCACATAAGGTCACATCCTGGAGTTTCTTGGAGTACCTGGATGCTCCTGAAAATCTCCTTTCATTCTTAGAAACCCTACTCAGTATCCTTTCTACACAGGATAGGGTACCTGCATTTAATCACAGGATATTTACACTGAAATCTCATTGGTCAAAAGTAGAATATGGCAATATGTTACACAAAATCCCATATACACCTATGAAGCTGCATCCTCATTGCATCAAAATTTGAAGTAGAAAAAAAATACACCCTGTGTTTTTAAATCCTGGATAAAAAAGGCCTCAAATTTAACTAATTGAATTTATTACTTATTTAATGAATATGATTGGTTTAAGCACAAATTCTACAGTCTTTCAGAAAGGAAACCAGTCTTGATTTGAAGACACCAAGAGACAGAAAACATTACCCCTTCTCCTGGACTGTTCTTCAAAAAATTTTTAAATTGATATTTTAGTTTCCCTTCTGAATTAGCTGAGCTTCAGCTTTTAGCCATTCTTTTTGCTCTTTCTGCACTAAAGAGTGTTTTAGCAGACAGTATCTTCCTCTTTTGAAAGGACTTATGCCATTATCAAATGTCCTCTGAGGCTTTTGTCCTCTGACAAGCTAAGCAGACGAACCCCTAATTCTATGTAAGGCATTTTTTTTTGACACTTAAATGTTGCAATTCTGTGCATTCTCACCACTTTTTCAACACAGACTTTTAAACACAGAGACTGCACCATCAAACAATTTTAATATTGGTTCCACAAATGTTACATAAAGATGTCTTAAATCCTCTAGATCGGTCTTACCCTTCTTTGAAAGGTGTCAGGAATAGAATTCCATCTGAATACAGACAACTATAGGCAGGAAACAAAGTCCTAACTGTGAGTACGAGTCTTCCCTTCAACTAGCATTGTCATTCAAACAGTTTTCAATACAAGTATTTGCACAAAGATCTTAGTATTTTGGCAAAACAAAGCCTGAATTTATCAGAAGGTAGATTCCCGCCCCCCCCACCCCTCGAGTTTTACAAGCCCCTTGCATTTTCCAAAGTATTTTCAGAACAACAGAAAATAAAATTTTGTAATAAGTATTAAATTATTAACATGAAAATTATTAATCTCTGGAAAAAATTGCATTACCAAATTAGGCATATGAAAACAACAAAAATACCACTTCTCTGGGAATTATCAGTTATTAATTTTACTGTCAAACAGATAAACATATGAATTTGACAGATAGCTTTTTTAATCTTTTCAGAGAGAATTTGAGAGGTTAAGGCACAATTTCTCTTGTTTTCCTCTTCTTCCCTCCGGTCTATGTTAAACATCTGAAGACAGAATATTCAAAGTTATTCTGAGATAGATACATGGCTTTTTGATGCATCTTGTTAATTACATATTCTATTTGAGATTGAGAAGCAAGTACAACAGTACATTTACATTCAAATATCATAATGATAACCTTAAGTGGAAAATTTTTTCCTCCAAGCTATCAAAACCACTCTGTTTTTGACAAAAAATATAGGCTAAGTTAATAAAAATTTTAGTTTGAAAGATCAGCAAGTGTGATGTTTATATGAAAAAGAAGCAATCTGGAGAGTGATGATACTGGAACTACTTTTAAGATATTTTCTCACTTCACTGTCTTACCGTATCCCATTTCTCTGATCAAAGGCAGGTATCATGGATGCTGGATGTTCGGACATTAGTGCCACTAGCAGCTGCAGCACATCATGAATATTTTCATCCTGTATGACAAGCATCAATGTTATTCTACAAACTAACCTCAACAGCAGGCTTCCCATAGAGCTGGTACAATTGGTTACAGTAAAAGATAGGCAATTACAGAAATGTACCTCATGCATTGTTAATAAGTAATTTAATATGCTCTGCAGTTCATCTTCTTTCACTCCTCGATCCTAAAAAAAATAAAAGGAGCAGCATTATTCAGAGAAAATACATTCTTTAAGTTTGGCTCAAGAAAAACTTGCACCAAGTCAAATAATCCTACGATTTTTTCTATTTAAACTCAAAAGACTAAATTCTCTCTTTCATTCCATTTCTTTTCCTTACCACACTGACAGTTCAAACCAGCATGAAGTCAGCCCTCTATTCCCGCTAGAAAGGATTCTTACAGTGTGGGCCTTCAGATACTATAAACTGTTACTGCCACTCCTCCAATCCCTGACACAGAACAGAAAAAACAGGAGGAATAAGCCAGGCCAGAAAATACTGGTTTTCAGTCTAGTCTCAAATGACAGATTATACCTAAAGACTAGCGTTCAGCTGTAACAGAGAGAAAGAACCCTAGAGCATTTCAACCAGTGGCAGAACCAAAAAAAAGGATAAAGCAATAACTAACAACAACTGCCGTTACCTTTTTCATTTGATCAAGCAAGCAACTATCTACTATCACATAAAAAAAGCCCAAATACCTGAAAGGTTCTGTAGTGTCATATACTATTTCTGCAAGTATATTTAATAAAATATAGATGGCATAGTTTGGTGAGGTTAGTAAGAAATATTGTACGGATTTACTACCTTTATGTTGATTAGAAATACGTGCATGAACATTAAAATTAACCAGAAGCAGATACAATACCTGACAGCTATCACATATTTACTGCTGTGAAAGATCCTATTACATGTATATAACAGATCTCAATGTTTTCCATCTGGAAGAGACTGTTTTACCTTCAATATAAGTTGTTTCAAAAAAAGCAGCATAAATGCCCTTAGTGATATGATTTCTTTCTGTGAGGGCCGAGGACCATCTGGAAGAAGCAAAATATACCACTTTTAAATATAAACTAATTCCTTGAATGACTGCAGCTTCTTAAGGAAATCACAGTTCCTACAACAGATTTAGTATTCTATTCATTATATAAAAGTTCATCTTTGCAAAGGATATAATTTATAACCTTTCAGAATCATGTTACAACACTAATATATATAAGTGACATTTCATTTTGAAAAAAATAAATTCTTTTTTTTTTTTTTTCTTAAACAAAGGCACAGAAAGATGAAAGGTAGTAATCAGGTCTAGACTCACACAACTAAATTAAGGTATATGTTCTGGAGGTGTCTTCATATGAGCCAGGAGTTTCAAATCCCAATATAAGCAACTATCTTTATTGACTAGATCTACTTAACTGACCCAATGTCAGTGCCCAATTCAGGATAAAAATTATTAGTTCCGTTGACTACCTTGAGTTGAATTCCACTGAAAACAATGGGAGTTTAAACACCTAGTACAAGTTACACTATGGACATGTAAACTTAAAAGGGTCTGAATACAAAGTTGAATCTCACCTAAAATACATGGTAACAACTTGGAATAACTAAGCCACTATGTTAAATACCATCTGAATGAAATCCAACAGCGGAAGGATTAATGAAATATTAGTGGTGGCCATTACCTGTAGCAGAAACTGAAGCTATTTAACCAAAGAGAAACTACAATCTGAAGAAAATATTAAATTTAAACCAGAAAAAAAAATTATTCTGTAATCCATAATACTTTAAACAATTGTGCTTGAGGAAGTACATCAGGAAAACAGAAGTAACGAAAAAATTGAACAAGAAACAGAGCCTGAACTATATTCACTTGAACCTTGCTCTATTGTATTTTCCATTCTCCTCTTTCATACATAGTTAAGGTTGAACTGGAAATTCCTTTGTTAAGTTCCTACTTTTCAAACAACGTGTGTCACAGACAGTTTTAAATTTTGCACAGTGAAAATAAATGCAGCCGAATTTACTTTTTCTTTAACCATTTCATCTTATGCTGATAAACACATACCAAAGCTTAATAACACTCTATGTCTCAGTATTATTTCCAATCCAGATGAATGCAACCTTTTAATGAAATTTTTTTATAGTCTCCAGTGCCACTCTTTGAAGTGAAGCCACTGCTGTACACAGTAATTCAAGTTTGCAACAAGGGCAAACCTGAGGGTAAGTTATATTTGATTAGCAGGAAGAAAAAGAGTTTTCTTCCCTGTTTAGGATTGGAGAGAGGAGAACTGGGTACTTTTCAGAAAGAAGCAAATAAAACTCAACATCCCTCCAACATCATATGTAAAAACAGTAAGGATATTGTTGTAAAAAATCTATCATATAGACTTTAAAGATATAGAAAGTTTTATATCCATACATTTTAATGGCACCACGAAACATCTATTTCCCATTGTAAAAACAGAAGTAAGTTGGATTTTTTGGTACTAGCTGCAAGTACGTTAAATATTGCATGTGGTTTTATGGCAATGGTGTGCTTCTAGCCAACAGCTTTTTTTTTTCCCCTAATTCAAATGCAGATTCAACTCTAACTGCATCACAAGAATCTGTTTCTTCGCACAACTTCTTCCCTTCTACACCTTACTGGGATTCAATATTGGACAATATCAGGCCTAAAAACTGAGGCGTTTTGTCTTTTCTGGAAGACTGTAATTATGGAAACAGAAAACAGAACACTAAGGCAATGGGGAGCTCTGCAAAGGATTTCAGTAACGGAAATTTTAAGGAAGGATTAAAAAGAAGATATCTCAAATTAACTGGGAACCTGTTCAAAGATACCTGAATTTCATGTCTCTTATTCACATACCCACCAGTTTCTCTGGAGATGTGTGAGAACCCTGTTCTTCAGCACACAAAAGATACAAAAGGAGTTGTTGCTTGCAGGTTATATGCCTCCCTTATCCCACACCAGGATGAGTCACTAAATCATTTCCTGCTTTTAGATTCTTTATGTATGTATTTATTGCAGATAGCACATGATTTGCTCAGGGTTTTTTTTAATATACACTGATAATGAGAGTTAGCCAGCTTTATCCAGACAAAAATAAATGAAAAAAATTTATCCAATTCATCCTTGCAGCACAGAGCAATTATAGGGGCATAAAACAGAACTAATTAAGAGGGAATAAGTAAACATATTCACAGAGTAAAGTACAATCAGTACTGGTATAAAAAACTGATTGGGAACTTTGAATAACAAAAATAATGATTTCTAACCCTGTCTTTGGAAATAAAATGTTGTGTTATCAGTTCTACAAGCAACCAAACGCAACATTCTTCCATCTGGCTTTTTTGTGTGTAAAAAGCATGATTTTTCTACTCCTTAAATTAATAAAACATGATACACATAGCAGAATCTGATCTCCACGCATGCATAAATAACATCACATGTTATGTGGACCTACTTTTTATCTTACTGTTGCAAAGCTAATGAGAACTGAGTTCCACTCTAACCCAGCCTTGAAATAACTCTGTGCAACTTTTTCTATCCACAAAAACTACAGTTACTTTCTCCTTATAATAATTTTCATAATTCCCACTTTTCTAGCTCATGTCCAAAAATTTTGGACATTAAAAATGTTTTTGAAAACTTTTATTTAACATGAGTTAACTTGGACATCAACAATCATGCGTTCTCTAGCAGGAGGCAAGATACTGCTCATAAATGTCCATTCAGAGTAAGAGTTGGGAAGCACACAGGAAACACTAGTAGAGAAAAAGAAATGCTTGGCCAACGGCTCAACAATGAGCTACACTACTCAGTAGCCTGAAACTTAAATACGCATTTCTCTCATACAACAATGAAGTGGCGAGTATTTCATAGGGATGCTCCGCAACAGAGTCCAAAATTACAATACATTTCTGAGAGCTGTTAACACTGAGTATCCTACATTATTTTTTCTTAGGAAAAAAACTCCACGATGTTTAGTTTAATTTTCTGTTATTGCCTTCATTTTATGCTCTCTTATTACTGCATCACTGTTAGTCCATCAGTATTTTCAGAGAATGCCATGCAGTTGGTAAGTAATTCCAATGAAGGTTTTTCAAGGCATAAATATCCTGGTGGGCTCTAATAAGTTCTCTCTTAAATTTACAAAAAATATACATCAAATTAATTCAGCAACATGGAGAACTTTTTTTTAAAGTGCATAAGTGTTTTATTTTTCTTTAAAAAGGCTAATAAGGAAATTAAACTACCCGACAGTTAGTAGACATCCAAAGATGAAAACAAAAAAGTGTGTTTAAATTTTTCTCAGTTGCTTTGATACTAAAAATATGTGTGTTTTGTCCCTTCTGAAAGACACTCACAGCTTGGCTTTTCTTCAAATGTCAGTCTAGTATATATTTTGAAAAGACGAAACATCAAAGAAGAACAAAGACTGGTAACGTAACGCTAAGATGTCTCTGGCAGCTTTAAGTATTATCATTGAAATGCACCATCTACCGTAGCAAGATAAAGAGTTAAATCTCTCCCCACATACACTCTTATTCATTCCCAAAATCCACAAAAGGAAATAATTACAGAAGGAAGTAATATATTAAATAATTTTTACTGAATTGCCTGCTTCACTGTGTCTTTAGATACTGCAACTGTTGGGCAACCCTATGATCTTCTCCCACCTTCACATCTTACTCTGTATCATTTAACAAAATGTTAAAGGCATGCATGTGGCAAACCAAGAGAATAGCTATAACCGCAGTTCAAGTGTAAAATGTAAAACAGTAAAGTTTAGGGATTCTTTCTTGTGGAAGTTGGTTTGACTTTTTGTGCTCTTCCTGACATGAGAACTATTTCACAAATTTACTTTTAATATGGTCTTAATAAAACACAAATCACTTTTGTCCTGCCACCTATTTATAACTGGTAATTTAATTTAAAAAAACCACAAACACAACACAAAAAAGAAAGTAAAACTCAATTTTAAACAGAAAACTTGCCTCCACTGTGTAGATCTATATCTAAAACACAAAACCTACTAAGAATAATTATCAAGCAAGCTGATAAGTATACATTTTGAAAAAGTGTTTCTAATACTTCAGAAGGAAACAAAACACTATGAATTTAGTATACTGAATCCAAGAAGAAATACCAGTTTGAAACACGAAAGCAGTAATGAAAGAGAAGGTACAAAACCAAATTTGAAATAAATATTTGAACCTTTTAAATAATTCAAAACATTTACACCTCCTATTTTATAAGCCGAATACTAGGAGAAGCAAGGGGGAAACTTTCAGTTTTTAAGAAAACATCATTAGCCAAATGGGAAGCTTCAATATCGAGCTACTTTGGCTTTAAACAAGGTATATTGAACTGTCAGTACAGAAAACTCATCCACTTTGTGCTTTATTAAGACAGCGGAAGGCAATAAAACCTTGAAGCAGAGTAACTGTCTGCAAGTAAAAGTAAATCAAACTACTAATATTAAAAAGTGTTTCAGTATCTCCACATAAAAAATGATATGCCTAGAGGACAAGAAAGCATCACACTACTAAAATGTCTGCATGAATAAGCTTACTTTCTAATATGACAGCAAATTATTTGAAGGCATTGTAACACATTCAGTCAAATTTTGGATAGTGGCAAGATTT